GGGAAAGAGGAGAGCTACATAAGCTAAAGGACAATGTGGCACAAGAATAAATAGATATAAATTGGTCATGAATGAATTTAGGTTGGAAATCAGAAGGTTTCTAAGCAACAGAGCAGGGAAGGAGGTGCTGGAGCAGCATTCTAGTAGCACAAGTGAGGGCGAAAACCTAATGAGATTTAGGACAGAGCTTAGTAAGTTTAGAGAAGACCATTTGTTTTGTACTTGCCTGTTATTCAGAGGGGTTGAGCCTGATCAGCCAAGAGGTCCCTTTTTCATTCTATTTCGTGTACTTGTCTTTACTGCCTTATCAGAACTGCTCCCTTTCACACAGAAGCCAGGTAAATCCTGATGAGTTTGTGTGATGAGGTTTTTGGCATTGACCCTGTGTATATTTAGTGGAGGATTCATTCTATGCCAGGGATTTAAACAAACAAAGAGAGCAAGCCAACACAACACATAGAGAAGGTCTGCAAATAGGCAATATAGAGGTGAGGTCACATATGAAAGAGCTTCTTCACATAAAACAGATGTTCTTGGAGTATCTAGCTTTGCTGGAAGGCTGTTTCAAATGTGGGTAGATGCTCTCCCTAGATTTGAGAACTTCAAGAGAAGTTCCCTGTCTGCAGAGAAAATGTCATGTGCTTTCCTGCCGTTAGCAACGACTTTGTGCTTGGGGCTGATACCAGATTTACTGCATTGGGAAATGTCAGAAAAAACACCACCCAAGAGTGGTGGAGACAGAAACTTCTCATAGGTATTTAATCTCTGGTACCTGGCCACAGCACTGCACTTATTCTGATTCTTCATATTGTCCCATGCTAGACAGGCACGTCTGGTACCTTCTCTAAAGCATCAGTGGACCCTACCATCCTGGTAAAACATTTTATCTAAAATCTCCGTGAATGCATATGATTGAAAAAGAAAGGGGGAGAGGAAATTTCTGTTATACATTAGACCTCTGGATACAGCTTGAAGGCATCCTCCAGCAGGGGAAAAATTCCCAAGCACAGGCTTGGCCCAAGGGAACAGGAGTAGCATGTGATGGTGGGCCCCTGAATGAGGGAGAACAGTTTTGTAGTCACAGTTCCTTATTTAGTAAAATATTACAAATTATTCCAATGGACACTTACAGATGGACACTTCCCCCATCTCAGCCCAGACTACCAAACCAGCTCAGAGTGAGAAAAGAAGAAACAAGAAACATCAAGGCCTGACATGTCACTGTGTGTCAGTCTCATTTGCTGGTAAAGTTTTCAGCAAGAAAAGCTGGAAAAGGATTCCTTCTCACTGAAGAGAAATTACCAGCTATCTCAAAGTAAATGCCTAGTTGTCAGCTTTATGTTACTGGAAACAAAGTGTGGCACTTTCATGGCTACTCCTTCCACTTCTCAACTCTGCAGCATCTCTGAGTAGTTTAGAAGTGCTTTTCAAATTATAATGTAATTACAGCTCTTATAAACACTCTCCTTGCTTTACAGGTGGAGGAACAAAACCATGGAGAGTGTAAAGGATTTGTCCAAAAGATCAGCAAGTAATTTTCAAGCAAGGAGTCCTCATCTGCCCAGCCACCAGACATTGATCTTGTCCTGTAAAATTCCCTAGATGAAGTACTGCTTTACAAAAAGATGTGTATTCATATATACATATACATGTTCCCTAAAGTGGGAAGAAAAGAAAGAACAGACCTTTACCTCTTCTTGCTGAGCCTTCCCAGGTAGGAGGAGGAACAGGTGAAGCTGATCACCCTTTCACACAGCCCCTTGGTCTTGCTGGAGCCCAACTCTCTGTCAGTGTTCAGCTCCCAGAAGAGATCCGTGTCTGAGGGAGGACACTGGACAGGGTAAGCAAAGCCCAGTCAGCTCCCAGGAGCTCAGCCTCCTGCTATGGTCTGACACTGGCTCACTAGCCAGAGATTCCCTTAAGCCTGGAGGACCAATGCTGGGGGAGACTAGCTCCCAAACTCTTCCTGACATGCACTGGCAGCTGTCTGCCTGCTATTCTTTTAAAGAGTCTTCGTGGATCAGGATAAAAATGTGATCTTATGCAGGCGGCATTGTAAGCACAACTTGGCTCAAGTTCAGCTCTTCCTCTGGCTCCCAGCTACTCTATTTTTATTGAAGGAATTTGAGGCTATCAGAAAGGAAGTCAAATTGTTTTAGGAAAACAATAGAAAAGCAACTTGAAGTTTATTAGCTTCCTGCTCAGGGTCTGGGACCAACTTGTCAAACTTATTAGAGCGATTGCAGAGCTATTTATTTAAAAGGGCTAGCGACAAGACTCACAATTTCATTCCTGTTTAGGCCTCAGCGAAAACAAAGGAAAGCCATAAAATAGTATCTGAAGGGAGCAGATGGCTAACTGGTAAATGGTGCAAGCAAGGTTGGCCTGTGAGCCATTTGTGGTGTTCACCAGTGCAATGGCTTTTGTGGGACTTCGTTATCAAATGAACGCCTGGGCTCGCATTCATAGGCTAGCCCCATCACCCCCAATTCCTTATTGTGGCTCAAGTTTTCAAATGGAAGCCTCACACCTAAGATTATAGATTTGGCAGGAAAAGGTCTTAGTTTAGAGCTACTGAAAGGAACAAAGCAATATGGCAGGTCTGCAGAAGAGTCAGGAATAGAGCCCAGGTGTCCCTGATCCTATTGGACTGCTGGAGCCCCTCAACTGTAAAAAATATTTATGTCCTTCAGAAGCAGCTGCAGTCTGCTTCCCCATTCAGCTACCCCAAAGTAGCAGTGCCATTAAGTCACTGAAAACACACTGGCATGTGGCTGGCGAGAAGAATGGACAGCCAAACTGTTAGACTCATAAGCAGAAAGTGTCCATGCTGCCTGAGCCTCTCTGAGGAATTTCATTGTTCACAAGGAAACAATAAGAGAATAAAACAAATAACTGAGAAGCATTTGGAAGCTCTGCTTAATGCAAAGCCATATCCCTTTTTCAGAGGGCTCTCCGCTAGCTGAGTGTTTAACCTGCTTCCAGGGAGCATATAGGAAGAACTCACCTCTCCTTTCAGTGTTGCAGTCTCTGGGAAGTCAGGCGCTGAGAGGTACTGAGGCTGCAGAGCTGTGCACGCACGCTTTGAACAACTCAGTAACTGTTCTTCAGATGAAAGGAAGAAGAACCCACCTCAAAAATTCTCTTCCTTCTCCTCATTAGCTTAACTAAAAGTGGGAATGCAAAGCAACAGTTTTCTCTGAGGCCTAAGGCAATTATGCATCTTGTATTGGCAAGTGGTAGAAGAGCTCTGTTTATGTGCTCCTTATAATGTATCCAGGTTAGATGCTTGTAAGAGGGTCAAAGGGAGTGCATGATGTCTGAAATGGCCTAAGAAACCGGGTCTTAAACTTGGTAGCTTTAATGGAAATTAAACAATCTTGCATTTATTTAAGGTATTCTTACAGCTTTTAGAAGGTTTCTCTAATTTCTGTCGTTCTGAGGTACTTCCTTGGTAAAAAAATCAGCCAAAGAAGCACACAGAAAAGTGCAGCATCCTAGCTCATTACAGTTTGTAGGAGTTCACTTAATTTTAAGTGCATTCTTGAGTTGCATTGTTTTCAATGAGATTTAATAGCCTGGAAGTTGAGCACCCTATGTTGCCAGCCTGGCCAGCTTTGCTGGGGGAATTCCGAGCAGACAGCAGGTAGTTGATATGCTTCTCAATCACCTCTGCTGCCAGGGATGCCACGGGAACATCACAAGATGGCATTCTGGCAATGGAAAATATTTTATTTGCACTTATTTGGAATCTGTATCATCTGGACTGGGACCAATTAATTTGTAATTTGTTCTAATAAGTGTTGTTTCAACCCCAAATGTTTGCTGTTAGAGTCTTTTTGTCAGTCCCCCTGGACTGTCCAAGTCTGGGTAGTCCCTGAGGCTGGGATCCTGCAAAGGCTTGGTCATGTGAGGAACTTGATATAGTTAGGGCTTGGGGCCACTCATGTGGGTAAAGGACCCTCTGTGCAAATGTCATAGACTGGAACATGCTGTAGATTGTTTAACCTCCTGCTTGTTCTACCAGGAGCCAATATGATTGCTAAAAAACTTCTGGGAAAACAGAAGTTACTAGCCAGCTGGATGCACAGATCTGGGGGACCTCTTGCCCAGAAGGCTGCAATATGCTGCCATGTGGTGCCAGTGTCAACACCCAGCTCCTGGGGCATGCTCCAGTGGTGGGTCTAGATAGCTGTACTGCTGTGAGATCTCTCAGCTCTAAAGCTTGAGGCATTAGAAAAAGGCTGCTTAATCAATATTGCCAATGTGGAAAGACTAACACGCATACATCTTGTCATACAGCAAGCTAGCTTTGCTGTAGGGTAGAAGGACCTCAGCCTTCTCTCTATGTTCTCTGCAGGGGAAGAGAAATCAGGACCTGAGTCTGCTCTGAAGGACAAGATCTCTGCAGCTTTCCCTGGAAGTCAGCCTCAAAGGAAGAAACAGTAGAAGAATTTGAAGAAAAAGAGGCATGTGCTTGGATGGTGGTGACTGGAACTGAAAGTAAACAGCCTGAGTTATGGGAGGATTCTCAGATGGTCCTTATTGCTCCCAGCCAGCTTGTTCTCTTTCATGATGGTAGTGTTTCAAGACAAGACCTCCCGGGTAAAATTAAGAACTAATTTAATTGCACAATTTTATGAGTAATGGATCTTCTCACCAATTTGATGATGTGTGTTGGCTGGATTCTAAAGCCTTCTGTTAACAATACAAATTACAGCGAATGGAAGGGGCAGGAGGACACTGTTGGCCCAAGCAGATTAGAAGGGCACATTTTATATTAGAAGACCAAATATCTATGCGCTAGGTGTGTGTTTGCACACACACAGAGATTAAAATTGTATTTCAGTTGTTGGCAAGAGCTTACAAGCTAGGCTGACTCCCAGCAATGTTGTGGTGCACAGGCAGGGAAGGTGCCTTGAGCAGTGCAAGGGAAGCAGACAGCTTTGCTCCTTCATGCTGCACCTTCTGAGTGGCTGCCTAAAGGCAAACAGGCTCACAGGGGTGCATTAGGCACCTATAGTTGTCAGCCTGGAGTCCTGAGTATTTATTAGAGGAAAGCTTGGAAAAGCTTTGTATCCACTTTGGTTTTCTGGAAGAGTGAAGGGTTTGGTCAATTCAAGTATCCTTAATTGTATTTCTGGACACCTGGGTTTCCTGGTAAAATACCATCTGCTTGACTGTTTCTAACAGCCCTGTACCCAGAAGAGGTGACAGCTTGCAGAGGAAGCAGGTGTGGGTGTTATTCACTTACAGCCACAAAGGCAAGGAAGTGAGTGTCCCTGGCTTCTCTGCAGCAGCTAGCCAATGCCATGCAGGGAGCCACGCTGGCTCTCCAGGTGGCCTCAGCCAATGCTCATGTTTCAAGCTGCGAGGAGTGGGGAGAGAGATGGGACATTTTCTAAGCTCTGATGTCCTGCCCATGGCCTAACGCAGGGCTTTCCCCACTTAGCTTCCCACTTGATTTCACTTCAATTCTCTCCCCTTGCTCCTCATACATGGAGTGATGCACTCTGCTCCTGAACTGCCAACTGCCCTGTATACATTTCCACACTGCATTCTCACTGGGTCCTTCATACACTGTAGCTGCTTGGTTTTAATGCTCACAGAGGCAAAGACAAAATGTGATCATAGAATCATAGGATCATAGGGGTTGGAAGGGACCTCGAAAGATCATCTAGTCCAACCCCCCTGCCAGAGCAGGGTCACCTAGAGAACATCACACAGGAATGTGTCCAGGTGGGTTTTTAATGTGTCCAGTGAAGGAGACTCCACAACCTCCCTGGGCAGTCTGTTCCAGTGCTCTGTCACTCTTACAGTAAAAAATTTTTTTTCGGATATTCACCTTGAACCTCCTATGCTCCAATTTACACCCATTACCCCTTGTCCTATCACTGGTCATCACTGAGAAAAGCCTAACTCCGTCCCCCTGACACTCACCCCTTACATATTTGTAAATATTGATGAGGTCACCCCTCAGTCTCCTTTTCTCCAAGCTAAAGAGACCCAGCTCCCTCAGCCTTTCCTCATAAGGGAGATGTTCCACTCCCTTAATCATCTTCGTAGCTCTGCGCTGGACTCTCTCGAGCAGTTCCCTGTCCTTTTTGAACTGAGGGGCCCAGAACTGGACACAATACTCCAGATGTGGCCTCACCAATGCAGAATAGAGGGGGAGGAGAACCTCTCTTGACCTACTAACCACACCCTTTCTAATGCACCCCAGGATGCCATTGGCCTTCTTGGCCACAAGGGCACATTGCTGGCTCATGGTCATCCTCCTGTCTACCAGGACCCCCAGGTCTCTTTCACCTACACTACTCTCCAGCAGTTCAGCCCCCAACCTGTACTGGGACATGGTGTTGTTCTTCCCCAAATGTAAAACTCTGCACTTCCCCTTGTTGAATTTCATCATGTTTCTCCCCGCCCAACTCTCCAACCTATCTAAGTCTCTCTGAATGGCAGCACAGCCTTCTGGTGTGTCAGCCACTCCTCCCAGCTTAGTGTCATCAGCAAACTTGCTGAGGGTACATTCTATACCCTCATCCAGGTCGTTGATGAAGATGTTGAACAACACCGGTCCCAGTACCGACCCCTGTGGGACTCCACTAGTCACACACCTCCAACCAGATTCTGCCCCATTGACTACAACTCTCTGACTCCTTCCTTTCAACCAGTTCCTAATCCACCTCACTTCCTGATCACCAAACCCATACCTGATCAACTTTTCTACAAGGATGCTGTGGGAGACGGTGTCAAATGCTTTACTGAAATCAAGATAAACCACATCTACCGCTCTACCATCATCTATCCACCTAGTAATTTCCTCATAGAAGGCTATGAGGTTAGTCAAACATGATTTACCCTTGATAAAACCATGCTGACTGCTCTTGATGACCCCCATGTCCTTGATGTGCCTGGAGATAGTCACAAGAACAAGTTGTTCCATCACC